GCAGTGCATTTATGCACTTTAAAATGTGTAATTTTGATTGCTCTTATAACATATCAAGGGTTTCGAGTATGTATGTAAACACTTCAAACACTGCAGCTATATCAGAAAAAAAGGTACAAAATCTGTCACTGGAGCAGTACTTTTTCAGAAAGAACAAATATGTACCATTTAGGTACTAATATGTATACTTTAGGTACTAATTTGTACCTTTAAGGATGCTTTAGGGCTAAATAAGGTAAAAGGGGTATTGTGTCAGTCACAGTTTTTGTACCTTTTTTTTGAGAGTGTACCTGCAAACCATTGCTAAAGGTTGAGTTCTGCTTTCCATTTGACTTGCAAGTTTTTCTTTCTTTTTTCTTTTTGTTTTAAATGAGGCAACAAAATGGTGCTAAAAGCAGCCAGAAACAAGATGGCACAGACGCATCTGGAACACACTGACCCCTGACTGTTTGAATTGATAATTCTATTGTATAATGCTAATTCTACATACTTGTTTTAAGTCTATGTCATTTTAATAATTTTTATAAAAAATAATATTGGGCCTATGCAGTTCATAGTAATATAAAAACATTTCAGAGTTTGATTTTTAAGTACATTTTCATAAAAACCTTTTCATGTTTTGCAAAGAAAACTAACCATTTCTCACACTGGATAAACCGCTGTATGTACTTTTAATAACCTGCAAAAGTTTTTTATACTTTTTCAACATGTTTAGGAAAATCAGTAACTATGCAAATGTTTCCTCGCTCCCACAAGCAACGCCATGCATCAAGACAATTAAATTAAGGGGCGGGTTCATAAAGACTAAGCGATAAAAATATTCTTTCATTATCTGGGAGCTGAATGGAAATAAAGGAGCGCTTGATTAGCTAGTGCGCCGCCGCTGTGACAGCTATGACATGTTCAGTAGTCCAGTGGATGCTAGATAATGACTTTCTCCTGACAGCCAACTTGTAGCTCCGCTATTAGTTTGCCTCTCAAAGAGCTTCCTAAATCAGGTACATAAGTGCTATAAGATATGAGAAGTCTTATCTGTATTGGCCGCATTTACTGCTGTTCATTTCTTCACTAATTTTTCTCTCTCTCCCACACAATGTGCAATATGCAGGATAATCAAGTTCATTCTGTTTTCCACAATGTCTCCGACTGAACCATGACTGTTCATGAGGTGACCTCCAATCACTTCAACCGCTGCATCACAGGGCAATTCTGACAAGGTCATGCACAATAGGAGGAAAAATATGCTAAAATAAAAAGCATATAACATAACTCTGAATAACTATCATAACACCATCGGATGCTAGATAATGACTTTCTCCTGACAGCCAACTTGTAGCTCCGCTATTAGTTTGCCTCTCAAAGAGCTTCCTAAATCAGGTACATAAGTGCTATAAGAAATGAGAAGTCTTATCTGTATTGGCCGCATTTACTGCTGTTCATTTCTTCACTAATTTTTCTCTCTCTCCCACACAATGTGCAATATGCAGGATAATCAAGTTCATTCTGTTTTCCACAATGTCTCCGACTGAACCATGACTGTTCATGAGGTGACCTCCAATCACTTCAACCGCTGCATCACAGGGCAATTCTGACAAGGTCATGCACAATAGGAGGAAAAATATGCTAAAATAAAAAGCATATAACATAACTCTGAATAACTATCATAACACCATGTAAACCATGCAAAATCAATAGGCATATGAACTTTTAAAAGTGAGGAGAAAACAACAGACATCAAAGACTGTGCATTCACAGTCAACCTTTATTGTGCAAATTCATTTTGTAGAATAAAACTACAGGTTAAAAAAAAAATACAACCGAAACTATATAAAAAAAAAAGGTTTATAAAGTATTGGTTACCAAGAGCACAAAATCATCTAACGTTTAAAGACTAAAAACTACTCAAACTAAAAATACCTTAAATTACGTTTCTGCTAATATATAAAGTTGTTTCATGTCTGTCATTTGAATAATTTTGCATATCGCTGCATACTGGGCCTATGCAGTTCAAAGTAATATTAATATTTCAATGTTTGATTTTTAAGTACATTCTGATTTAAATAATTCTGAAGCCAATTCGTAATCATTCTGCATTTTGTAGTACTTTTGTGACCCCGCTAGAGTCGCCGCTCCAGGGTGCACCGAGATCAACAGGATACAATATTAAAGCAAACAAGCTTCTGGAATATTAAAATGCCATAATTTTCCCAGTTTTTATTTATTCATTTTTTTAATGCAGAATGAGAAGGAGGTATGTTAATGAAAGCTGTACATTTCAAAACATGAAGAGCTGCACTACCGTACATGTTTAAAACACTGAGCGATCCGTCTGGAGTCTTTTGATCTTCAGATAAGCCACTATATATATAGACAGCAATCTCCTGACTCAACTCTGGTCCTCACAGAAACGGACCCCATTCCACTCCAAAATCCCTGCTGTGGGTTCAGAAGTTTGCACTATTTATATAGTGCATACACAAAGTCTATTCCTGGAATTTCAACCTCTTGAGAATATTGTGCTCTTGCAGTGCTGTGTCATTAATATTACACAGTACATCTACATGTGCCCATCACATATGCTTTAATATTCTGGACAAGATATTAAACTACATTTTTAAAGACGTGAAACACAAAATTAATTAATTAATTTATTTGTTTGTTTATTTATTTATTGTTGGTTTGACTGGATGTTGTTATGTTCCTGGTTGTTGCAATAAATAAATAAACAAATAAATTCAATATCATACATTATTGTGCAAAACAACAAAATACAAAATCGTATTATATAATCATAAAAAATAAAAATACTATATTTATATTTTGCATAATATTAATGTTAATGTAATAATGTAATATTTTACGGCTCGATTTGAGAAAGGGGTAAAGATTTTAGTAGATTAAAAAAACCACTGGGTGGATTTTTATCATTTTAGGGTGGTTGTGTACACACACTGCCAACACACATTTCAGTTCAAACTACTTGTAAAAGTGCATGTAGCATCCGATGACCCATTTAATATTATTTAATATATTAATATATCATATAAGATTTAATATAATATAAATGTTACTTACTCAGGAATTAGTATTTTGTATCAAAGCTTCAAAAGATGGTCAAAAAGTTGTACAAAATAAAAATTAAAAATGAAACTAACCATGACATGACTAACTTCATCTCTTTATGACCATCCTGTTCATTTTCCTGCCATCATGCAAATAAGTTCTACAGTAATTAAAGTAGAAGTGCCTGAGCTTGCGAATCACATTCGTAAGGTAGAGCAGGAATAACCCTGCTATTATTTTTATCTATATATGTGAGATGGCAAGCAGTCCACCTGTCCGCTCTAACTTCATGCCCTCCAGCAAGATCAAATCCAGGCAGAGCAATCAGGAAGTGTTTCCGTCTGCCCATCGCTCTTCCTGCTCTCTTATTCATGCAGGTGAGGCCGGGCTCGTACAGGAATACTAAAGCGTGACGCTACGGGCGGACGAGGAAATGATGCTCAAATGAAACCTGCTCCGGATCTGCTCAGAATCTCAAAAACTCTCTCTCTCTCTCTCGCTCTCATTAAGCATCTCCTGCTAACTGAGGCTTGGCATTATGAAGCGGTTTGGAAGTGATTCACAGAAACCAATCATTTGAATTCATTTGAATGTTAACCTTTCGGTTAACAGCCTTGATCTTTAACCACTAGGCCACAGCACCCCGATGTCTGCAGTGGGAAAATGAATGTAACGAGGGTCCTGACGCTTTCAGGGGGGCAACATGACAAACACACACAGCACTGGACAGGTGCTTTATTCACTGAAGCTGAAGGTGTGTAGTGATAATCTCTATGTGCGAAATGCCATTACATTTATAATATCACCAAAATTAACACAAGATTTGCCCAGATTTGAATATTATATACCAGAATTGTTCAAAATCAAATCTGGGTCAAATTTTTATAGCACAGAAAATAATTTTATAATAAATGTGTACTGTATATTATTGGTAAATGTACACAGTGTATAAAGCAGGATTATTATAGATAACGCCTAAAGATTAAAATGTACCAAAACCTCTTCTTTTACTTATTGAAATAAACTAAATATTAGCTGAAATAAAAGATCTAAAAGATAAAACTAAATAAACTAAAAATTTTAATTTAACAAAAACTATACACAAATACTTAGAAACACACAACAAAATTACTAAAACTTTCAAATTAAAATTTTAACAAAAACTAAGATAGTATATCAACTTTAAAATCAAAATATTAACAAAAACTAAGATAGTATATCAATTGTACTAAAATAACATTGGTAAAGTATAAAGTATATTATTATATAAATAAAAATCTTAGTCTCAGCCTCATTGGTGGCAATGGTTTCAACATCATTCAACAGTTAGATTTTAGTCTCTTTTGACTTTTCATAGTTCAGTGTTTATGCTGCACACAAGAGAAATAAGTTGCAAACTACACAATAAGATCAGTTTCTGTAAACTTTGCGTCTTCAAGTGTCCAGATTCATGTCTAAAAGTTGGCATATTTCTCATGCACATCTGTTTCTCCTGCTTTGTTTTCAGATCTTGTCTGTGAAATAATATCTAATTTCTTCAGTGTTGTCTGCAGAACGTACCGAAGTGACAGAAATTAAATGAGCTGTCAATTTGCAGCAGAATAAACGTCAATGTGCCAGACAATATGCAAAATAATCAAACGTGTGGCTTGCGAGATGACGTCTGATTTATAGACTAAAGCTGCAGCTCTGAATGATTTTGTGACAAACATTACCAAGCAGGTGATTAAAATAAAAAGAGAAAAAACTTCAGGGCCTTGCAAACAACATTTGGTCCCCAGAAGCCCCAACTAGCGCAGTCCATGTCCCAAATCAGCAACACGATGATGGGACCAAAGAGACTGAGATCTGCACAAGCAAAAGTGAAAGGAACTGAGACGAGAGCAGTGTGTAGCTCAGATCTCATCCAGTGTGGAGAGTACAGCCTCTTTACTCACCGTCTGCTGCTGGCCGTCGTTCACACCGTAGACGCTGAGTTTAATAAGTGTCTCGCTGTAGACGGGCCAATCAGGTGGGAAACTCACTCCAGTGAGGAACACGGGATCCCTCGTTCCCTGCAAAAAGGAAAAGAGACAGAGAGTCAATGGGTGAGGATGATAAATCAACCAGCAGCTGTCTGCCAACATATCGCTGCTCATTCAATGGCAGATGGGAATAAAAATGAGACGTCATGTTGAAGTCTGGAGACCAAATCAGACAAGTGTTGCACAAAAACTGGGGTTTTCAAACTGGAGTGCAAATAACTTGTAACAAAATAAAACAAAAATTCAAAGGTAAAACAAACTACCATTTAAAGATTTTGTAATGTTTTTTAAATGTTTCTGAATGTCTCCTTTGGACATTGGCATCATAAACTTCAAAAACTGCTGTTCTAAATGACCACATTTTCCTTATTAGTTGGTTGTTTGAACAACTCGTCAACTATTCAGCATACTTCCCTTTTTAAAAAGGGTTTAACCATGCCAAACTGTCTAATAGCTGAAGCACAATGTGCCAATTCAACCAGCGCCACTAAAAATATCAGAACCTTACTAACTCGTTCGCCTTTTGCTTCTGACTTCTGACTTTTGTTGGATGACCAGTGGGCCATAGTGACCCATCCCTAAATCCCAGCGGCTCATCTAAAAACACAACCACAGCGGTAGAGCAAGATATCGGGCACATCAGATGAAACCCGCACCACATCAAAAAGTGTCTGTTTATGAGAAGAAGCCAGTCTGCTTCCCACGGCCAAACCCTCACGCACTTCATCACAGATCACTGATCTCAGAGAGGGAAACTCCCAGTCACGGCCATGTTTACACAACAGCATTTCCTCAGGTTATGCCTGCCGTTCTGGGGCGTCTCTGGACCCGAGTCCCCTGAGACGGTGGGCGGGACAGATAGCGAGGAGCAATCACTGGCATGAAAGCTCAATCACACTCCAAGAAGTCCAGAGACTGGAATGGCTCTCTTCTTTCAGGGTAAAAAGCAGCCCGGCTATTATTCAAGTCAGTGCTGGATCGATGAGGCCACAGTCTATCTGTTTCACATCTGCTTATTGGCTGAGCACATGATGCTATCTGAGCTGAAGATCACATTGAGTCTAAGTGCCTCCGGTTCTGCAAATGAACTGAGCAAATGTATCCAGTTAAAGGGACAATTCACCCATAAATGAATATTCTGTCATCATTTACTCCATCTCATGCTGTTCCAAACCTATACGCCGAGAGATCTGAAAATCCCCCAAAATTAAAAAATTTAAATTATACACCTCATTCACTGCATTTCAAACGTTTTGAAGTCACACAACAGCTTTTTATGAAGAACAGACCCCATTATTAATTGAAAATCCTCCCCTCTGCTGCAGCTTTCAAAATTTATTTTACATTCTGCATATTTGATGTGGTGCATCAAAGACGTGGTGCAACAAAAAAAGAAAGAAAAAAGAAGTCCATTTGAAATCCTCAGAGGAGGTGACGTAAAGTTGCATTCCTCACAAAAGCTACTAAATGCAGAAGACATGGAATATTATGGAAGCCCATTTCTGCAACAGAAGGGGGGGGGGGGTCATGCTTTGTTAAATAATGGTACAATAATTATGGTCTAAAAAGTCAAAATTAATTATGCATAATATGTTTGCAATCTCATACATAATTATGAGATTAAATATATATATATAATTATGAGACACTAAGTAATAATTATGAGATAATAAAAAAATTATTGTTAATTATATTGTCATAATTTTAACATGTGTGTAATAAATACCTTTTTAACTTTAAATATTTTTCTAATCTTTTTTTTCTTTTCAAAATTTAAATTTGAGTCTTTTTTACTTTTCAATAGTTTTTGTTACAATTTTTACTTTTTATCTCATAATTTTAACATCTCAATATCTAATTTTATACAGTCGAAATTATGACATTATAATTGACAATAGATTTTTTTAAATCTCATAATTATGACTTTGTATCTCCATTTCATTTTTTATCTCATAATTATGACTTAGTATCTCATAATTATTTTTTGTATCTCATAATATATCATATATTTTATCTCATAATGATATATATATGTTTTATATATATATATATATATATATATATATATATATAGTCATAATCAACATTTCATTGCAATTTCAACTGGTCACTTATGATTTTTGTCATAATTATCACTTTTTAACTCATAATTTCTATTTTATCTCATAATAATGTCTTTAATTTGAACCCATAATCATTTTAATCCATAATTGTGACTATTTTATGTCAATCGTATCTTATTTTGACTTTAAATCTCATAATTATGCCTTTATCTCAACTTGTCATACTCTGTCATATGTCAGTTATGTCATGATTCTGATTTACCAAAGCACAGGTTTCTGTTTTGGGGGGGGGGCTTCCATAGAATACAGTGCACAGGCTGTATGGGACATTTTATGGTGTCATTTTTGAAGTCTGACAGACTGAGCTGTCGTTTTAGGCTGTAAAGATGCTTCAAAATTACTACCTTTTGTTCCAAGGAAGACAGTAAGCCATACAGGTTTGGAATGACTTGTAAAAAACTTTTATTTTCGGGTGAACTATTCCTTTAAAGCTAGCTAGGCAAGAAGTCGGCACATAGAGACATTAGACAAGAGTTTTTTCACGCATCTCCCCCAGGGATCTTAGAGTCTTTTACAGGGTTGCATCATTCATCAGCTCAACAGGGTGAGATTGATTTTACAAGGTGCTTAATTAAAAGAATCAGCAGGATGTATAGGCTGAAAGGTTTTCGCACTTTATCCTGCATACGACTCCTACACTCACTAAACAGCACAAAGAGGACCATATGAATCTTGCAAAAGTTATGATCCAAGCTAACTCATTAAAAAGCATTTCAATATTAAACTTACCTCACTCTCCATGCCTAAAAGTTCAGTTAGAGCCGAGATAAAGCAAGTGACCAGCACAAATCTGAACCCATACAACCACAAGGTCAATATCGCTGGCGATAATAAATCAGCGGAGCGACACAGGGGAGCGCTGAAAACTCACTGCAGCAGTGTGGGTAATGGTCAGTCCTCAGGACTAATGGCCCCGTTTCAAAAAGCAGCATTTATTTAGTGTGTGTGGTGAATGCGGGGCGGAGGGATTCATTTAGATATGTCCCAAAGTGGCCAATTTGTTCCGTAATGCGCCGTCATACTGGGCAAACTCAGACACGCTCATATTTTTACACTATAACTGGACGTTCGATAGGAATGCGATACAAAAACGGACAGAATAAATAGCAGGTCACCATGACTTTGGCTAGAAATCAATGTGCACATGAATGCACATGCATCAATAACACATAACCAACAAAGATGTTTTGTAAAGAGACAGTGGCGTGACGTCAAATCTGCCCTCCTCTTGAGGCCAGACAGACATTTTTAGAGTGGGATTTTCCAGGAGATTAAAAGAACAAACACACACACACACACACACAGGCTGCATCTTTCAGGGATGGAACTTAATGCATTAAATCAGCATATTAGAATGTTTTCTGAAGGATCATGTGACACTGAAGACTGGAGTAATGATGTTGAAAATTCAGCTTTGATCACAGAAATAAATGTAATATATATTCAAATAGAAAACATTTGTTTTAAACTGCAATAATATTTCACAATATTACTGTTTTTACTGAATTTCCCCATGCAGACAGCAGTCGAGGCCACCAGCATCAGAATGAAGCAGTGCAGACCCCAGCTGTGACCAGGGCTGGGAAGGTTACTTTTAAAATGTATTTCACTCCAGATTACAAAATACATGCTTTAAAAAGTAATCAGTAATGTATTTCATTAGATTACTCAGGTTTAGTAACTTAATCTTTACACATTTGAAAGCTATACACAAAGGAACATAGTAATGTCTTGTTTTTATGTTTTCTCTAAATAAAAGTGATATCTACCAGTCATAAGATTTGCGTTTTCCTAGCATTTTATTTTTAACATCAGTTTTCCACAGTGTAACGGGACGACAGAGACGTGAGACGTGTGGATCCATGTGCAAGCTTTATTCTGAACAGAAGACAGAGACGTGGTCGTAACAGGCAGGGTCAACCAATGGCAAACAGGTATATGGCGGGCAAAACATGCTTTAAAAAGTAATCAGTAATGTATTTCATTAGATTACTCAGGTTTAGTAACTTAATCTTTACACATTTGAAAGCTATACACAAAGGAACATAGTAATGTCTTGTTTTTATGTTTTCTCTAAATAAAAGTGATATCTACCAGTCATAAGATTTGCGTTTTCCTAGCATTTTATTTTTAACATCAGTTTTCCACAGTGTAACGGGACGACAGAGACGTGAGACGTGTGGATCCATGTGCAAGCTTTATTCTCAACAGAAGACAGAGACGTGGTTGCAA